GATCAAATACTGACAAAATCCCAATAGTAAACAGTGTGAGTAATTAATGCTTTTGGTATCTGCTGAGACAGTAAAACCTTGTATTGGCTTTGTAGAGCGTGTCTGTACTAGAAATCCATCCCTGCTTCCTTTTGGATTTTGGCAATGCAAATTCTTGCAGCAATGCAAGTGTTTTGTATCAGAGGTGACCATGTCCACTGAAGGAGGGAGGAGGGTGGCTACAAACTGGATCCAGATCTATGTTAACTCTTTTTGAGGAGAAGGTAACAAGCATGGGAAAAAGGTGATTCTGGGGATGCCTGGGAAGAAGGAGGAGTGGTGAAGTGCCTGGAAAAGTTGCTGTCTTACAGTTTCCCTTGATGTCCAGGCACTTGAAACTCCTCAGCTGGGGTGGGACAGAGTGCTGGAAAATACAGAGAACAGCCCCACTTTGAGTGCTGTTGCATGGATGGCAAAATGCATTTATTTGGTCTCATTCATGTGTCCTGTGAATAGTGATGGCGGGTGAGCAGTAGGATGAAGAGCAGAGCAGCTGCCCTGGCTTTCTGTACCTTGGAGGAAATTTGATTTGCCCTTTCATAGTGGTACTTACCACCAGGAACTCTCCTTTGGTCTTCTGTGGAGTTTTGCCATCCCTTAATTGTGCTTGAGACAAGAAGGGACAGGCTTTTATTACGGGTGAATTGTCTGTTGTCTGTGGACCTTCCACTGCTGGCCTGTCCCTAGCTGTAAGGCTTTTGGACAACAGCATCTGCTCCCAGAACTAGCACTGGGGAGAGGGCCAGGGTCACACTTGGGGTGTCCATTGGAATTGTGCCATGCCCATTTACTTTCAGAAAAAAAAACTAAATCTAGAAAGAGGAACAGTTTTCATGGATATGTGAACAAGCAGGAAAATGCTAGTCTCATGTATCCTATTGAACTGATGGAGGGAATACTAGCTAGTTAAAAAAAGCCACAGTCATGAGTACTTATGTAGAATAAAAAGAGCCATATACAGTAATGTCAAAGCAGCAAGAATGCAATTTTAATATAAGCTATTGCCAGTATGATGTGAAATTAATTTTTTTGTTGTTATATTAGGTGCCAAAGAATCCAAGGTCTCAGCCAGAGAACAGCCTGTTTGGTTTATATTTTTTCTTTTACAGAATTTGAAAAGAGAATGTTGTTCTGTTGGCATTAGAACAGCACAGGAAGAGTAATAAGTGATTTGAGATGCTCTATAGGCCAGTACTCAGTGTTTCTCACTTACATAGACCGACATGTTTACTCTTAAGTTTCTGATTAATTATAATAATATTAGAGTTACATTCCATATCTTTCCCAAAAAAACCCAGTAAGTTATCAAAGGGAGCAAATGTGTCTATACACAGGCAATTCACTGCTGTTAGTGTCAGAGCACATGAGCTTATGTTATGGGTTTACACTCTCAGCAGTGCTGAAAGGCATCGTAAAGGTAGAGGTTCAAGGCTCAGCAGCTAGGACTAGCAAACCCTGAGCAGATGACGCACTGGCCAAAGTGGAACAAAAACTTGCATTAAATGAAGTTGTAAGACTTTTGGCCCTTTGAATGTGGTGCTATGTGGTACTGAAGAAGACAGGTAGACTGAATAAACCAGCAACTTTCTCATGAAGCAAGAGCTTTCTCCAGGCTCTCCTTTATCTCCTCCCTCTGCTCTCTTTCTCCTTCTCTGGCTTGAAAGGAAAAAATGGTGTTTTCTCCTCCCTGAGCTAGCTGGAAAAACCATAGCACATTAGTAGTCCTGGGATGTGGCGGTGGTGGAAGTAGAAGTTTCCTCTGGGCTGAGGTGCTGGAGACATTGTGCTAGCAAACCCAGATGACGCTAAGAGGAACGACCCTCTTCAGAGTCCTAGCGGACTTGCATTGCATCTTAAATGCATGCCTGGTAATGAATGTGCTGTGGAGGAGACTTGAACATCTGGTCACTTAATTCTAGTATTTCTTAGTTTATAAGGATATGAAAACTTGAACATGATATTTGAGATAAAGTTACCAATCTGATAAGACCGTTGTTCCCCATGAGTGAGCATTGTTCTTGTGAACACGGGATAGAACTATTACTGCATCAGCTATGCCTGTAGCTCATTAGCAATGTACATTTCTGAGCTGGAAATCTACTTCATTTATGACTTTAAACTTGGTGTGTGAGTGTCCCAAACTCTCTGCTGCTGCCTCTCAGAAAATTGCAGAAGTACTACATATTGAGGAAAGACCTTTTCCCACAAATATTCTGTATATGAATTTTGAAGAGCAGATGACTTCTTATTTTAAGAGTCAAAACCTTTGGCAGACAAACTATTTCATGTGTTAATGTCTGGTGTATGAATGTGCTTTCTGGGGTGCCATTTCCCTGTGAGGGCAGAGTTGAAAAAAAAGGCAGGTTTTCTCCAGTGTGGTCAGTACCAACTTGCATCTCAGCTGAGAAAACCTCTCAAAGTCTTCACAGAACTTGAAAACAAATTAGACTGATGCCACAATAAATGTCTGCTTTTGAAGACTCTTCTAATGAGAAGAGGATGACCCTTCTAAAGAACATTAGCAGCACTAACTCCTGGTGGTCCTGACCAAGGAAACAACATCCACCCAATGTCTACTTTTATTTGTCTTTAAAAGCAGACCAAATGCATGGTAGTCCTGCTTTTATTTAAAACTGCCTCCCTGCCTATCTGTCAGCTGGGATGTAGCCTATGTTTTCAGGAAGATGACATGATGCCAGCACTTTAACTGTGACCAAAGCCAGTATGCATTTGTCTGTGGGATGCTGGCAGGTGCCCTAAGGAGATGCCATGTTTTCAGGCAGGTGAGGCTGCTTGAGGTACTTACCGTGACTTGCCCTATTGCAAGGTCCCAAGACAGCACTGAGGTTACTCACTTACCAGCCTCTGTCTCCTGTGTGCTGGTGGCATGTCTCTCCAGCTCGTGGTCAGTGAGGGTGGCAGCAATAGCCTGAGAGAAGCTCTTTGATCTCTTTGTTCTTCCAGCAGACATCCCAAGGCATCTTGTTACCTATATGAGCCTTGAGGCCTAAATGAGACAGGTGCTTGCTGTGGAAGGAAGCCCTTTAAGGCAAAAGGTGCATGGTATGGGGGTTTGGCTCAAAATCCCCTCTCTTGCTGGCTGTGGGCCGGCTTCCTGTAGTTCTGTCCAGCTTTCCAGCATGGCCAGCAGCCCCTCCTGCCTGCCAGCAGGGATGGAGGGAGGACACCCCGCTGGTGTCCCTGGTGGAGCAAGGTGAACTCATGATGGGTTTGAAGGAGGAGCACTTAAATGCACAAAGGATTAAAAGTTAGCCATGTGATTCTGTGGGGGCCTGAAGAGACATCAGCCCTGAACTGTCTCCTTAAGCTGATGCTCTCAGGTTTTTTATTCTTTCTGTGAAACGCAAAGAAATAGGGAAATTAAGGTTTACCGTGGCAGTTTGGAGTCAGATGAGCGCCATCATCCTGGGACACGCAACCAAGCTGTTGGCCCTTATTTCTGCAGTTATTACCCCTAAGAATGCAGTGTTTAATTCCTTCCCCCCTTTTCTATCCTTTTTTCTTTATTGTTTTCTCTTGGAGACTAAAGGGTTGTTCATTAATGCTTACCAAGATCCTGAGTGTTCTTGGAGAAAAGTCCTTTGGAAAGTGCCACATTAGATAATCATGTGTGTGTTTTGTTTTTAAGTTGCCGCATAGTGCCATGCTTGCTCAAATACTGCGCAGCCAGACAAGAATGTCAGCCATGGGAGGAGCCTTTTGCATCAGTAAATTTTATCTGAAGAAAAGCTACTGTTTTCAGGGCAGAAAAGCATGTTATTCCTCCATCTTCGTCCCATAACAAAATTACAGACAACTAGAAAAGAGAATCCTGTTAATCAGAATAGTCAATTGGGGAATCAGTAGCTCTGATTTTAAACACTATTTGTAATTTGCTTTAGGGTCTGTAGCCTAATTCTTTCCTTTGAGTTAATTAAAATACATTTGGATGTGACAGACATTTCCAAACCTTCCTGCAATCCAGGAGGAAGAGCAGGTTTTTTGTCATCCTCCATCAAATATGAGGCTCTGAACACAGAAGAATTTCACTACAATGCTGCAAGGTTGTTTACCTTAGCTCCTTCACAAAAGATAATCCAACAAATTACATTAATTATAAACCAATATGTTCTGTTCAATTCCCACATGAGCCAAACCTGGGTATGAGCATCTGCTCTTATTTTCTGAGCTGGGTTTTGAGGACAAGACTCACAACAATGCTCAATCCATAATTAACAGAAAAATTAAAGATGCAACATCCCTTGCATCCTGCTTTTTGAAGCAGCATGTTTAAAAATATACATGCACTGTCCTGGCAGTTTTTATTCAACATAAAAGAAACAATACTCTATTGTTACCCTGGTGTGTTTTTGTTTGTTTAAAATATTTACATTTATGTTAGGCTTAAAATAAACATGTAAATACTTTCCATAAGAAAAAAAAAGAGATTCATAATTCCCTCTTGTGCTACATTTTTTTCTTTTCAATTGTTTCTCTCCCTCCCCCCAAAGATGACCTCTTTTCATAAAATGTGGTTTATTCTGCATTAAGCATATTGTTTTCTTTATGAAAAAAGGACTGGTTGGGCTTCTTTTCATTTTATTTTTTTAAGTGGCATATTTTTTCAGTTTCATTTCATAACAGGAAACAAAAGAGAACGTGATTGTTTGACCTGGTTACCAAAGAAATATTTGGCTAATAAAAATCCCATTAGCATGATGCCAAGTTCTGCTAGTTGTTTATGGTAAGCATGCCTACACAATTATGCTCCATTTCCATGTTGAAGGAGTGGAGGGAAGAGAGCTTTTGTGGTTTAGGCACTAGGCTGGCACTTGAGATAAGAGATCAGTTCCCAGCTGTGCAGCAGACTGACTTCGAACAGACAGCAAATTTCCATGGCTTACTATTGCAGAAGGGATTAATAACACTTCTTTCCCCCATCTTCCATCTTGTTCCTGTAGGAAACTGAACTCTTGAAGGCTGCTTGCCCTAGTGTGCAGCACTTGGTCTGCTGTGGGGCCCTACCAAGCAGGATAGCTGCGTTGCCTTTACCTGAGACTCCTGTAGGAGCAGAACTAACTTCCTAACTCACTGTGCTTAACAGAGCTCATGCAACATAAAAGGAATAAAAAATTATATGGTTGCTACTATCCATTCCTATTTCAGGGAGGAAGATCTGAATTTCTTGATAGTGAAGGTCTTTCCCTTGTTCCCCCTATCCCTCGGGTTTGCCCATGGGCACGTCTGATGGTGCTGACAGCCCCATGGCTCCTAGCTGCTGTCAAGCAGCCTGTAGGCCTGCCCTAGATGTGGTCTTGCCCATCCTGCCAGGAGATGTCCTTGCTGGAACCCCTCTGCTGCTGCTGGAGACAAGGATATGGTTGCTGTCCCATTGTAGTCACACTTCTCATACCACTGTGCTGTGCAGCAGCCTCTGTAGGCTTGCTGGGTTTCCTGCATTTCACGCAAGTCTTGTTTTAATGATTAAGTAATTGACAAGGAAACAATAGAAATTTATTAACTACAGGAGTGAAAAAATAACATGGAAAAGCTGAACATGTTGGGAAACACTTCTGCAAGGAGAATGAGGGGGACAGCTTCTTTGAAAGCCAAGACATGTAGCCCCTGGAAGCTCAGAGATGTTGCCTCTGCTGCCCGAGGCTTTTATTCCCCTGGGATGTGCAGCATGGATTTAGCTGTGAACATCCTGCAGAGAGCAGGATGTGGTGAACCATAGGCTCTGTGGGCTCCTTGCTTGGCAGCACAGTGGGAGCTCATGGGGCAGTCCAAGGAAGGACTGCAGGAGCTTTTCTGGAGTCAGTGATTGGTACAGAGGATTTTTCATGTTTAGCCTTGCTGGTAGAAAGGTCATGAGCCTGGGTGTAATGGTCAGGAATTTCAGTTCCTGCTAAACACTCAAATTCTCCAGGCTTGTTATCCCAGTGTTCTTGGTGTTTGTTTGAAAAACGGGGAAACTTCTAGCCCTTCCAGTTAAGAGGGTGTAAGCTCAGTGTGAAGAAGCAGGAATAAATCCTTCAAGTGTTAAATGTTACGATGGCTGGTGAGCTCTGCTGCTGGACACAGAGGTACCATGAGTTACAGATATGTGGGAATGGAGGGTGCTGCTGCCCACAGGAGGGGGACCAGGCCTGATGGGACATGCAACCAGGGAGTTGCCTACCTCTCTTCTGCAGGGCCAAGGAAGGAACGCTGGTGTGGGGCAAAGACCGTTGTGTCTGGGCCAGCTGCTCCTGTGTGGCCCATACCACTCACAGATAGGGCTTGCTCAAGCTGCCCCTAATGGCTGAGTGGTGGCCCTGGGCTTGGGTCTTCAGGCACAATTTGCTTTAGCCAACATCTGTATCTTCCTGGTCTATAAATAGGTAACTATAATGTCCTCAGCAAGAGGACATTAGTTTTCAATTTCAGTCAAAGGCACATCTCAACCTTCCTCCAAATTAAAAAAGTAATCAAAAGGCAGCTCTTGGTGTCTCTCAAGTCTTTAATCATTTACCCTCCCACTTCAACAGTGCTCCTTGAGTTCTGGGACACATGCATGCCAAAACCTCTTCCTTTGCTGGGAGCATGAAGTTTTCAGCTGCGCAGTTTGCAGAGCGCACTTGAGGAAAAGCCTTCTGCTTTCACTATTGCTCTTGAGGAGAAGGATGTGTGTTCACTGCACAGCTAAGGCATGTGCTGTGCAGCAGCCCTTGCTTGGTAGGACTCCGAAAATGACTTCAAAATGGTACAGTGTGAACGCTGCATGCCCAATGTGTGATATTAAAACATTTAGAACTGGATCAAATCAAACCCAGTTTTCACCACAAATGCGTAGAGGCTGTTCTTCTTGTTTGAAGACTCTTTTCTTGCCAAATTCCATCTTTCCACACTGAGATGCTTAAAAAAAGCCTTGTGTATGTATATATTTATATAGCTGAATGTTTTTTTGATCACATTTTATACAAAAATATTGCCTTTTGGCAGGGAGTCAGCTAGTAGGTGTTGGATTCAGAATGTATCGTAAAGTTACGAGTGACTGCAAATGACATTTACACCCAGTAAATCTGGTAGGGAAGTGTTAAGGTCGAAAAATCAAGGCCTCCAAAGCCAGGAAATTACATAAATAATAATTGCATTGAGCTCTCTGTGTGTCTGTGCATGCGTGTGCATTTATAATTGTAGTTATGTGACTGATTTAATTTTTTTCTTTAATTCCATGGGACCTGTCTCTTCTGTAGACTGAAAATCCACCTTACTTGCACCATGTGTTATTTTTTGCCACCAAAGCCCTATGGAGTTGTCTATACATGTCTGTGCTAGGAGTGGGTCAAGGCCATGAGACTGAAGTCAGAGGTACTCTTGCATGGAAACTCAGTTACCAAGCCTTGGGAAATGGGTGGCTACCCCTGGTGGGACAGATTGTATGGGGTCACAGGTGTGTGCTGGGTAGGGGGGACACCAAAGCCTGAGGCTTTTTCTGTCCCTCAGCCCCAGAAGCTGAAGGCAGCTGTAGATGGTATCTATGGATCTGTGAAGATACAGGCTCCTGGAGCTGCAAAAGAGACTGATGGCATCGTGGTGATGGGGAAGCATAGACATAGCTGGGGAGTAGGGTGTGAATAGGTGTAAGTTGCTCCTGTAGGACCAACAGATATCTGCAGAAGTTTCTGCAAAGCCTGCAGCTTGGATAAATAAATCTGTCTGGATTTCCCATGAATGCCTGTGCCCCAAGACAGAACACACTAGGGTTTCTCAGATAAAAGCTTCAAGAATTGCTGAAATGTAAGGAAAAGGTAGAGTATGGAGGGTGCACCCACTCTGAGGTCATGCCATCTGTGACCATCTGTGAAGGAAGTTTCATTTTTATTAAGTAACCTCCAAAGAAAGATATCCCTAACCTCCCATAGATGGCTTGTTCACATACCGAGCTACCTTTATTTTTGTTTCTTTCCTAATCATAATCAGAGTGACATTTGTTGTGAATCAAGGGAATTTCTTTCTGTGCTATTGCTAATATTGCTGGAGAGCAATTGCTCAGTCTTTTTCATAACCCCTTTTGGAAAAGCCTTATCATGTAATCTGTTGTTTCTAAACAAAAGTTTACAATGAAAGCTGTCACTTGGAGCAAAGGCTCAAAAAGCAAAGGCACATCTGTGTGTTATTTCATTGGTTCTGCATTGCAGAACCTTTTGGAACCCACCACAACTTGAAAGGAAAACCTTATAAAGGTTTTTTATATTATTGGATTTTAGTTATTTTCAGTTTTGGGATATTAGGTTTCTACATATTATAGTTGGCTTAAGCTTTCTTGTTTGCTTGAGGTTTTTTCCTCAGGATAATTTTTTTTTTTTTTAAATGGAATTCCTCTTTTTAATTCTTTCTATTTTAAAGCAATGTGTTCATTGCACTTGGATCATTATTTTGGAGTCGCTTCACTTACTGGAGGATTAAATGGCATTTCTACATGTGTAAGGAGTTTAACAAAATTGAGTCGCATTTATTGAATGATCTTGTTTTTATTTATCCATAAAGTGCACCAGGATATTACTCACTAAGGCTCAAGTCTGATTTTTATCTGAGGTCCTGGCCTGAGCAAGAGACAAAAACAAGAGCAAATTAACCAAGAACATCAGTAATAACTCTTTAAAATAAACTTGTAAAGTAAATTAAAACTGTGAGTGAAATGGAAGAAAACTAAAGGACAATGAGGGAAATCAAACCTCGCGGATCAGTAAGAGGAAAGTTGGTGATGGTGTGATTGAGAGTAGAATTAGCCCCATCTGCCAAGCGCCTCTGAGCAGTAGAAATGTCACCTGCCACCCGTTCCCCAGGAAGGCTTTAGGCCAGACTCTGACCTGTTTTTTACCCTGTGAAACACTGACTGCAGTCTGCACAGATACAAGTGAGAAACCCACCCAGTCAAATTCTTCTCTAAACATAAGTAAATAAAGGAGTACTGTTTCTGGTTTCTGTAAGCTCTGAAATGATGTTTGCCTCATGTGATTGTAACTTCCTTGTGGTGCTTGCTGGAGGTGCCAGTCTGACAGCCCTGGGCGTTGGGTCCCTTGCAGCTTTACCATGCTTTCACAATAACCACTCCTCCCCTCCAGCCAGTTACTTCGGTCCTCAGGGTCTCTGCTGAGACTGCCGTAGGCTGAGACCAGATTTAGTAATCTGAGTGAAATAGATGTGCACCACTGCAGTCTGGCAATGCAAACCTAGCTGTCCATAAAGCAGAGTGGCTTCTCCTGATTGTTCTCTGACAGGGTGCAGGTACAGTGATGGCTGCACTGCCTTGTAATCTGCAGCTTGTGGAAATCACTGTAGGGCTATTAAACACAATATATATGTCAGAGCAGTGTAGAGCTTGTTCTGGGTTATGTCTCTTGGCTTTGGAGGGTTTCAAATATGTTGCAGCCCTTACTCCCTTCAGGTACTTGCACTGAGCCTCTCAGAAGATGGAGAAGGGTTTGACTTTTGTGATGGCATTTGTACGGTATAATTCACGTGTGTAAATTAACTGCTCCAGCTCAGATACTAACACAGTGGAGAGCTTCTTTTTTACTACCAGCTTCTCCTGAAGCAGCCAGGCTGCCTGGGTTTGATGCCCATATGGAGAAGCTGGCTCCTGTGGTACCAGTGACTTCAGGAAAGTGCCATGTATTGCCCCTGAGGCTCAAAACGGCTCACCTAGGTCCTTATAGATGTGAACCCTCTGTGGGGCTGCTCTGCCATTGTTGATGTGTGTTTCTGGAAACCAGTGACTGCTTCAGTCATACTTAAGCTTTTTATCACTCTAAAATACACTGTGTCCCTTTTATCGCATTTAGAAAAATTAGTCTGTTCTAAACCAGCTGGCTGCTTTGAGGGTGTGCAAGTATGTGTATGACAGCACATGCTTTTACTTTTTAATGAACTATTTCCCCTGGCTTCATCTTACTTCCACAGTCTATTTTTGTTGTTATAATGACACTGGTCAGTGAAGCTCAGAGGAAATCAGTCATCAAAATGCATGGTGCTGAAGCA